CTATTTCTGGGGACTCTGTTCTGTTCCATTGATCTATAAGCCTGTTGTTGTACCAATACCAGGCTGTTTTGATTACAGTGGCTTTGTAATATAGTTTGAAGTCTGGTAATGTGATCCCTCCCACTCTGTTCTTTTTTCTCAAGATGGCTGCAGCTATTCGGGGTCTTTTTTGGTTCCATATAAATTTTCAAAATGTTTGTTCTAGGTCTGTGAAATATGCTGTTGGTATTTTCATAAGAATTGCATTAAATTTATAAATTGCTTTGGGTAGTATGGACATTTTAATGAAATTAATTATTCCAGTCCATGAGCATGGTATCTTCTTCCACTTGTTTAAATCTTTCTCTATTTCTTTTTTCAGTGTCACATAGTTTTCTGAGTACAGGTCTTTATTTAAGAAGAGAAAAGGAAAAATCCTGAGGAGCTGGGTTACCCATATAACCATGGTAAGGAAGGAGGTGAAACTTGAGCTGAGCCTTGCAAAAATAGGTAGAATCTGTAATAACATAAAGAGTACTGTGTTCTTTTCTAGCTCTGTCTCTCTCTCAGTGTGTGCATGTGTGTGTGTATTTCTCCGTGGCAGCATTTCCATTAGAGTAGCTTGAACAACAGCATGAAGTACAGTGTTGGGAATAGTAACTGCAGTCGGTAAGTTTATGTAACGAAAAATTGAGAAATGAAAAAGTAGGATAAAGGTTTGGACAACTGCTCTGGTTACCTACTGCTTTGTTGTCCACCCCCAAAGCATAGAGTTTAAAACAACAATTTACATTTTGACGAGGTTCGGTTGGGCAATTCTTCCTTGACTCATTAGCTTACATCAGATAGTGGCTGGGACGTAAGGTTTTTGTTCTGTATATCTGGTGCCTTATTTGTGATGGCTGGAATAGATGAGGACAGGTTGCTTAGGTGTCCTCACGTGGCCTTTCCACATTCCTAGCTTTGGGTTCCTCTTTTCATCACAGCCTCAGGGTGTTGTACAACTTCCTACAGGTGGACAGTTTTCTCCAGAAGGTGTCCCAGAGATCTCCCCAAGGCCAAAGGTGCAAGACTTCTTATGAATTAGACTAGGAAATTATGCAGTGTTACTTCTGCTGTATTCTCCTGGTTTCAGAAGTAGCAGATTGGCCCTAAATGAAGAAAATGGAGAAACAGACTTTACCTCCCAATGAGAAAATGGCTTGTGCCCAAGGGGTGTGGGTTGAAGGGCTTGAGGGCAACTCCCTTGGAGATGAGCTACTGTAACCTTACATTCTCCCCATTCCTATACCTCTTTACCCCAAAGTTTCTATTAAGATAGCATACATTCCGCCTGGCTGGACATGGCTCAGCAGTTGAGCATCGACCTAGGATCCAGGAGATTGAGGTTTGATTCCCGGTCAGGGCACATGCCCTGGTTGCGGACTCGATTCCCAGATGAGGGCATGTAGGAGGCAGCTGATCAGTGACTCTCTCATCATTGATGCTTCAACTCTCTCCCTCCCTCTCCCTTCCCCTCTCTGAAATTAATAAATATATATTTTAAAATAAAATAGTACACATTCCAAGTATAGTTCAATCTAGATTCTATTTAATCCTTAGACTAAAACCATCTATTGATCCTTACCTTGGTTTGACTCTGCCAGCAAACTGACCTTTTATTTTCATTTGCATATAATATTTCTTGCTGATAATTTCTGACACTAATTTTTTATATATCAGAAATTGGCATTCTTTTCTCGGGAATTTCTTGTGCTCAGAATTCTAGTAGGGAGATTTGACTATTTTGTCTTCAGGATTACACTTTAAGAAATGACTGTAATTGTGATGGTACAAAAAATGGGGTTTGGGGCTTTTGGTACTATCAACTTTAAGTATGTTATAATTAACATCTTTCTGAGGATATGGAACTCTTTCAGCTTTTTTGTATGGTGCTGGTAGAATGTGGGGTGGGGGAGGAAGCGGGAGTTTAGATATGTTTAAAACAGCAGTTTATGTCTTGACACAGTCAGTGTCTTGATATGCATGTTGGGGGTAGTGGTGGGGCCAGAACCCCTTTGCTTAAATTCACAAATTCAAAGAAGTACAAAAGTTGCAGCCAGCATGAGCCTGCATACCTGAGAGTTTAAGTAGCCCAAAGTCTTTATCCTGAACCTTTAAAGTTTTAAAAGTGCCACATTTAGTCCTTTTATTTTGAAAATGACAAAATAATAAATTATTTAGAAAATGGGAAATGCATAAACTTTGGATTGAGTGTATATACATAACAGGATATGCAGTGTAGTTTTCTTGTTGTCCCAGAATTGTGGCTGAAAAGAAGACAGTGAATCTACCTCCTTCTAACTGCAGGAAGCTGCCAGTAATAGGAGCAACTACTAGGAAGCCCTGTCCCTAGCCTACTTACTGAAAGGTGCCAAAGAAGAAAAGTGGGACTGTCCTTTCCGTAACTTCTTTTGGGAGGCCGAACATCCTTAATCAAGGATACCCATCAACTGCCACTGGCTAGTCTAAGAGAAACAAAACCAAACAAGTGGGGCCCAGCCGGGCGTGGCTCAGCGGTTGAGCATCGACCTAGGATCCAGGAGATCCGGGTTCGATTCCCGGTCGGGGCACATGCCCGGGTTGCGGGCTCCATCCCCAATGACTCTCTCATCATTGATGTTTCTATCTCTCTCTCCCTCTGCTGCCCTCTGTCTGAAGTCAATAAAGATATATTAAACAAAAAACAAAAAACCAAACAAGTGGGGATAGATTCCAGGATATGCACGTTGGGGGGGGGGG